ATAGTTCCAATGAGCAAGGTGGCTGGAAAGAGAAAGGGGTGAAGTCTGCTGCTGGCAGCAAAATGTCTAGTGCTACAAAGGCGCACGTAGGAGCAAGGCTCTTTGTAAATCAGTTGAAAAATAGGAGAGCTAAGTTGGTTAGCCCTGGTAGTCAACCAGAGTTATGAATTTCTTCTTCTCCCCTGAAGGTGTTCTGTTGCTCTTCAGGAATAAACACTGCTGAATAACTATGGCTTTACATAAATAATACACTCCTTCCTACAAGCTGCATGAAATGTTAAAACTCCAGAATGGACTGTAAATGGATGCATAAATCTTTATCATCTGTGCCTTTCAATCCTTCTATTTAAAACTGAAGGTAAAAGGACCTCAGCATTTATTCATATTTTCCATGCCCTTTGTGCAATTTTTCCTGACATCAATTTCATCTGTGGAGCAGCACGAAATGCTGTTCCAGTATACACTGTGATACTTTGTTCTTTTTCTTGGCGTGTGCCAGAACGCTGAGTTAAAAGTAAAGCATAACACAAGACAGCTTTTTTGGCATAACAGGTCACCAAAGCAGCGGAACGTTTCAGTCAAAAATCAAAGTGTGAGACGCATTGCTGAAAGGCAAGTCATCTTTCAAGGAAAGCTGAGACCTCTCTTCATCTTTATACATGAGGAGTCTTCCTCTGAAGCGGTTAATTACAATGAAAAATACAGCACACTTTTCTCATAGCTGGCCATGAATTGTTCTTGGATTACACACTAGATCAAGTGAAGTGTGAGAGCCATGTTTCTTTCACAAGTAGGGAGGAAAGCAGTCTTGACAGCATGTAGATGAGTGTAATCTACTTCTTGTTTATAGACCCAAAGGATCCCTCAGAGCATTAAAAATCCATGTGATATGAAAGACTGGTATACTTCACTTTAAGAGATGTGATTTAGCCGAAAGCTGTGTAAAATCTGTAAGACAGCATATAGGCATAGAGTACCTGCAAGTGTCTGAGTGCACCCATGTGCACTTTTCCTGCACACGTGAAAAGTAGACGATCAAAAAATCTACTTGAGATTCACAGACTTCTGACAGGAACACATGTGAAGGCTAAGTCTGCCAATTTTTGGTCAAGCCAAACCTGAAAATACACAAACCTGAAGCAAATGTTCTTCCAAGAGGGAAAAGCTCTAGTTTCATATACATGAGGCCATATAGGTTGTGCATCCTTTGTTGTTCTTCTGCCGGAGCAGGTGACATCCGTCACGCACCTTTCCTTCTGGGTTGCTCCTTCTGAGAACTGGGCTCCCAAGCCATTTCAGGTAGGATTTTTGCATACTGGAATCAGACCTCACCTTTTGCTGAGAAAGACTGCCAATGACTGCCATAGGTGATGCCTATGTCCCCTTCTTGTAGATGCTGGCTAGGGTGTTGCTTGGTCAGTTCTCTTTCTGACGTAATATATTTTTCTCACTGTTTTCTAGGTATCTTACAGTAGTTTGTTCATGCAGAGTGCCTCTTATCCTCTCAAGGACCGTGCAGAGGGGATTTTTTTAAGTTCTGTATTATTTGCATGTTTCACAAACACAGTGTGAGTGGTGAAGAGGCTAACAGTGTCCCTTGGAGGGATTCATTCTTAGCTGATATGGAACCAAAGTGCTGTACTCTTAGCACCAACCTGAAGAAAATGTTGATGAACATAAGCTGTATTGTAAAAAGAAGCCTTTTTTGTTAATATTCTTGATGAAAGTATTGTTCTAGGGCCTTGGGAGACCTCAGACATGCAGTGCTTTAAAGACAAGGACTCAGCTATAAAGCCTTGGGTAGACAGAGCATAAGGAGAACAGGTCTCGCATACCCGTAGCTTGTACTGCCTAGGAGGTTTTGCTACACTCTTCTGCACCAGTTGGCTGCTCCCAAGTTCTGGGAAACTTCTGGGAGACTGCAGGTTTCCAGAAGCAGCACAGCCAAGATGCAATGCAAGTGTGAATAACTCAGGTTACATAACTTGTCAGTAACACGTCGTCTCCCTGCCAAGCACAGCAACAGAAGGCAGTGCTTGCAGATGTGCGATGTGGGACTGGCAATAGGTGCAGCTTGGTCCGGGCCCAGACCATGAAGGGCTGGAGGAGCATGCTGCAGGCTGGCACAGGTCTCCCTGCCCTTCAGGGCACTTGAAACATCTCAACCAGCTGCTTTTCATCTGGGAGCAATGTCCTACAAGCACTGTATGTCTGGTGTGACGATGTGTGTTGGATGACGCTGTATCAGTACTGCCTCTGAGGCCTTTCATCTGCCCATTTTCTGTGGTAAAGACAACTAAAAGCTGCACAGGTCCCAAAACAGCTCCAAGGGTAATAGCTTTAACACTCAGGATGTCATTTCCCCTTGTTACATAGTCATCTTGCACTGGAGCCACATGTTTGGAGCTAGAAGGAACCACACCGATGGCTGTTGCTCTGTGGCACTTGGTTCTGAGTTGGAGAACAGGGAGCCAGGGCACAGGTGCCATGACCCCAAAATATCTTGGAGGCTATGGTAGCTGCAACTTGTCCATCATGCTAGCAGTAAGCTGCCTGCTTGGCAGCAAATGGGCTGCATGGCTTATGAGAAGTAGTTTCTGTGTGATGGGGAGATGTGATGGGAGCACCAGGCATCAGCTAACCACAGCACTGGGGCACAGCTGGGAATAGCACGTTACCAAGAGATTGTGTGTGCAACACCGGATTAGAAGGGCAAAGGGATGCCTGATTTGGGGCTGGGAAGTATATGGAAAGGTAATTGTGTTGCAATCTCTTTAATTCAGGAGAAATTGCTGGAGAGGGTGATGGAGAAATAGGGCTCGTGGGTCTGGCAGATGTAACTTTATCATTAAAATGTTTTACAAGTAAAGCCTTCATATCAACAAGGAAAATCTTTCTGAGGAAAATAGCAGTTAGTCACAGCAAAAACCCTAGCACCGTGCCCTAACCATGCTGCCCTTCAGGCAGGGTCAGGTCTGCAGTTCAAGCACGGCACTGTGACGATGACAGGACCTCTGGTGGAGCTCCCATTTTCCAAAGTCAGCAAACAAGCACAAAAATAGAGGGGCTCCTTTGTCTCAGCAGACAGAGCCTGTTGTCTGAGCGGCTGGAAATAAAGCAGGGCAAATGTAAGTCAGAGCTGCGTGCGAGAGAGCCGGGCAGCACTGTGCTATACGGCCTCTGGGGAGAAGGCGGGCTGCAGCTGGGCTGCTGCTGCTGTGTTTAAGGGTTCTCCTTGTGTGGGAGCTGCAGTGGCAGGAGAGGCAGGTCAGGAAGGACCCGACGGTCTCATTGCCTTCTTTGCTGGGTAAACTGGTCTGTAAACAGGGGCCAGGCAGGGGGATGGCACACACCCGGCTGGCATGGAGGTCTTTAAGCACAAGGCAGAGAGTGCTTTGGCGAGCAACAGATGATGGATGTGAGAAAGAATCAGCAAGTTAAATACAAAAGGGGAAGGTGAGAAGGAAATAGAATATGATAGTAAAGGGAATAATGACATGGGAAAAAAAAAAAAAAAAAAAAAAAAAAAAAAAAAAAAAAAAAAAAAAAGTGAAATAAAGTGCTGAAGGGAAAGACAAAAAAAAACCCAGCAGAAAAAATCTGCTCAGCTGGCAGATTTCTGTGAACCCGCAGAAGATGAAGGAGAAGATTCTGTTCAGCCACTAGCAGGCAGTAAAAAGGAGTATTGCCTGCATGCGAGGTGCTTCTTAGGGCTTGGTCAGTTGGTAGGAAACGGGAGGAACAGGGGCGTGCGTGCATCTTCAGCAGCACTGCAGCACATGCAAGAGCATGCAGACCGATGTGCGCCTCAGTGTAGCGAAGGCTTTTGGAGTATGGACACATAGAGGGGCCAATGCAGGCAGCTGCAGGTGGCCTAACGGGGAGCAGGTGTGGCTGTGCAGGACAGGACGGGGATGCAGGAAATCTGCGGCGCCTCTGGAATAGATGGGAATTCTGCAAACCTGGAACGCTCCCTGTCACAGCGTGCGAAGCTGCTGCTGGGATGCCGAGCAGCAGCACTGCTGTACGCACCGACAGCACTGCTCGTGCATACCTACAGCGGTTCTGCACACACGTATAACAGCGCTGTGCGCACACCTTTAGCACTGCTGTACGCACACCTAGAGCAGCGCTGTATGCACAGCTGCAGCCCCGTCCCAGCCGCAGCAGTTCGGTCGGGGAGGAGGCGCGGTGCGCTGCGGGACGAGGCGGCGCCGCGCTGCGGGCTCCGCTGCCGTCCGCGCAGAGGGACCCGACAGGCACTAGTTCCCCGTAAGGTCTAAGGTGTGCTTCCTCGCGAGCCGCCGGCACCGCGCGGCGCGGGACGGCCGGCGGGACGTTGAGACGCCCCGCTCGCAGCCCGCCGCGCCCCGAGGTGTGCCCGCAGCCGTGATGGTGCAGTTTTCCAGCGGGGCGTGCCGCCGCGGCCCGGCCGAGCACCCCCCGCGCTCCCCGTCGCTCCGCTCCCGTCCACGCTCCGCGCGGCCGCCCCGCATCCCGCGCCCAGCGGCCGCCCCGGGCGACGGCAAGACCTGCGGGCTCGCGCGCGCGCGTACCCCCGCTCCCCCCCCGACCCTGCCCCGGGCGCCGCCTCGGGGCTCCGCCGCCCCGCCCGCCGCTCCCCGCTCGCCGCTCGGCCAAT